ATTAATAATAAGAAATCGTCATATTAATCGTTGAAACTCCGTACGTAACTGATCTTGGTGGTCATGCTAGGTTCGTGTACCCATATGGGGAATCGGGAAATCGGAATTTAATAATTAAACTTTTTTTATCGTTGCATCACGCACTTATCAGTGCGAAGTGCTTAATCAGCACATATTTTAACTTAGATAACTATTGACATCCGTTGTGATTTTCATATCATTAGTCATGTAACAATTAAGCACCTTGCACGTGGTACCCATTCTAATCATTATCGTTATATAAACAAAATTTTATTGTAATGTATATTATTTCGTCTATATTATTTTGTCTTTATTATTGTATTAATATAATGGCAGATGCACTAGATACAAAACTTAAGTACAAACAAGGAACTTGTTTTAGTTGTTGAAAGTGTTTATATTGTGGAGTTGATTTGCAAACACAAAAATGCAAATGTGATATTACAAAACCACCCCATAGAGGCAATCGAACCAAAGATGTCAAATATGCATATACATGAATTTTTACGTCAAATAGATAGCAAATCAAGTTGCTTTCGTTCAAGAAAAAATATTGCAATATAATTATTCAACAACTTTAAAAGATTCTTTTAACTTTTCATTTTGTTCACGATGCAATAATGAGTTATTGAGATTGAAGTAAACTAAAAAAAAAAACATTTAACAACTCTAATTCAATAAAGAATAAAATCGATGCTTCTAAATCATGCATATCTAAAAAAATCAAATTAGATCCAGAGATATGTGATCTTACTTCAGAAAATGAAAGTTTTCAAAATTTGTTAGATTTTTCCAAATCTAATGATGATAGTGAAGAGGATGCATACTATATAAAAGAAATAGATAATTCTGAAAAAGACTTTGAATACAAATTTCATTATGGTATTTTTATAAAATTAGATGGAAAATTTTTACTAACTAAATGATATAAAATCACTATATCTGAAGTAGATGAATTTCTTATAGAAATTTATAACAATATAATCACATTAATAAAGAATGAATTAATTGAAGCATATAATTATAATGTAACATTTAAAGACGAAAAGGTTACAAGAACTGGAACTCAGTTAATAGATGATCAAGATTTTCAACAATTTCAGTCTGAATATCATAAACTGTCTGCACGAAAGGTTAATATGGGAATATTTATAATGATTAATTCACAAGATTCAAATAAAAATAAGCACAAAAAAAATTATATTCATTTAAAATTTTATGAATTAATTCAAACGACCATCTAAAAGTGCAGGTCTCATAATAATTCACAATAACTAATTAACTTATTAATAATCATGCATAAATCCTATTACATAACCCAACACCCTTGATGGTCTCCCTATTTACTTTAAAAAAAACTAATAAGATTTTATTTTAGGATACTGATTCTGAAATAGAAACTGATATGTTAGAGGATGATTGTTTAAAAACTCCAAAAAACAAAAACCAAGTTCCTAAAATATCCAATCTTACTGTAGAAGAAACTCAAATAGCTAAGAGTGTTTTAAAAATTCGTACTGCCAATTACTGTAATATACATAACTGAGTATGCTTAAATGTGGATAAAAGTAAGAAGTACCATATTGAAATTATTTTTATGATGTTATCTATTTGGGTGTCAGAAATAATAGGTATATTTTTTATTATATATTTTTAAATAAAATCTATATAATTTGGATTATTTTTATTTTATTATAGAACAAAAGGTTGGCTACACTTACAGAACCATCAACACATCTATTATTCACATATAATCATTTGTCTAAAAAGAAACCAAGTTTATAACTTTCTAATTCAGATAGATTATTATCTCAATCTTCAAGTTTTCGCTTATTTCCAAATTCATATATTCTAACACCATTTTATAATCCATTGCAGATGGTTCCAACTTTCGCTTTATCTTATTTAAATCTAGAGCCAACATTATATACCACAAGATCATCTATACCTACTATTGGTGAATTCTTAAAGTCAATTGATGAAAATAAAAATACTGACGATTATTATCAAAGCTTTCTATTGAAATTTGAGTAACAGTGAATTTCAGTACGAATACTTTCAAAATTATCAAATGAAGAATTTGAAGAATGTGGTATAGACACTATTGGAACATAACAAACACTTTGTTACTATGCAGCCAAATATAATATTTAATTATATGATTACATATTATATAGAAATAATACATCTCTAATGTAATTTAATTTTTTACTTGTAACCTGATCCATTAAAAAAACTATTAGGTTGTAAGGATGTAATTTGTAAACAAGCAATTAATAAAGGATAAATAGGATCAAAACAACTCTCTACGAAATAACAATAATGCTTCAAATATTTTTTAATAAATGAAAAGGCCATCTCGATCGGATTAAGATCTGGCAAATATAACAGAAGAAATTGCACATGTACACCAAATGCATTTAAGTATTCAAGTAATCCATCATGGTAATGAATTCTTGCATTGTCGAGAACCAAAACACTTCTTATATGTGGATATGAATTCATTTGAGGGAACTATATAAATAAAAATAATTGAATTATTGTTAAGATAATTTATATAATTTACCAATTATTAAATACATATATACCACTTGTAAAATAACAAAGTTTTTAAATTTCTCTTTTGTACAACTACCCTCCATAACGTCTACAGCAATAATATCATCTAAAGTAAGAGCTGGTAAAATTGTGTAACATTTACTGTGAATAAATGCTACCCTTTTTATGACTCTTGTATTTACTTCAGAATAATCATAACTATGAGTAATTGTTTATTCATCTTTAACCAACTCATCTAAAAAAATCAACTGTTCACATTGATATTGAGTTCCAATACATGCCATAAAAACACTACAAAGCAATTCATTACGTTCTCTTGCAATTTTGCTTAACTACCATAAATATTTAATAAATATGCATTATAAATTAACAAATAAATATACAATTATAAGCAAAAACCTTTTTACGTGTTATTCCACAATATGCTAATGATCTTCATAAAGTAGAAATAGAAACATGTTTGCCACTTTGAATTTCCATCTTCCAAACTATTTCATCAAGATACAAATCGGTATTTTCTTGAACAATGCTTCATAAAATCTAGCTATAAAATTTATAAAATGTAAGAAAATAATAAAGTATATATTTAGAATAAAGTAAATATTAACATTCATATCATTTTGGTCAAATGTTTTATGTCTTCCCAGTATTTGTTTCCAAGGATTAACTACTGTTTCCCATTTTTTATACAACCATAATACTTTATATATTAAGCTTTTACTGATATAAAGAATTTCTGCAATTTGTCTTTTAGAATAACCGCTATATCGAAGAAATACTATACGCCATTTTAAGTCTTCACTATATATTGGAAGCATTTTAAAAGTTTGGTTTATGAGATGTGTTAAAGCACTAATTGTTAATTGATTACTAGTTGATTTGTAAAGCGAAATCACATGATATATATAAATATTACAAGACTCAATATGACTAAGGAATTTTTTAAAAATCTCTTAATTCATCTGTTAAAATTTACATTTAACTTAGAATAGTATTATTTTATTGGACTATAAAAACCATTTCTATTAGGAAATTGGTGAGAATCTTTTTCTGTTAGAAGCGAGAATCAAAAAAAGAAGGAAATTTGGGAAATATCACGAATTTCCCATGATATGATGATCCCCGATCGTCCACACCTTTTTGAAAACAGCTATAATAGTATAGAAATCATCATATTAATCGTTGAGACTCCGTACGTAATTGATCTTGGTGGTCATGCTAGGTTCGTGCCCAATCTCAAATACCTGGTTATATAACATTATGCTCGACATTACGTTGTTATCATTATTCCAGAGACACATTGTAAAACGTTAACCGAATGATTATTCTTCCGATTCGATAAGTTATTGATTTCGGCATGATCAATGTAACATTTATTATTTACAAAGATGATCTAAAACCAGGTACGTACGTACGTACGTAGATGCTAATTGATTTGTAAGGCTTTAAATGTCCTCCATTTATGGTGTCGCAGTGACAATTATTAATCGATAATGACCAGATAACCAATATCGATATAACTCTAATTAAGTATTATGTTTTAGAAGCATATTCAGTCGAAAACAATTTAGAAACCAATTTAGAAGGGTTATAAATTCGAACAACTGTTAAGCACTTAGGTGTTAGCAGATCTTCAATAAGTCAAGCTTTCAATCAATAGGAGTTTTCAAAGTTAACGTGCGGGAATCTAATTTGACAGAGAGCGATGTATCGACTTTATTTCATTTCCTGATAAATTTGAAATGATGATTTTTGTCTATTTATTTCGTAAAAAGAGAATCTCCAGACACTCCCATTTCATTTTTGATTTTAAAATTTTGAAATACAATTAAGATTTTTCAAACTCTCATTTAATTTCAAAATGCGCCACTCATTTGTTAACTTTGAAACCCCTAATTTCAAAGATATGGATGCGTTGAAAGACTTCCGCCACTTGTAAGAAATCATGTCTATTAAACCTGAATGATATAAAATATCTTAAGACTTTAATGGAAGAAAAGTCTAACTGATATTTGTATGAGTTACGATTAGAAATGGAACTTTATTTAGGACGTGAAAGTAGAGATCGTTTGAAGCCTTGTAGTTTCACGAGAGTTTTAATTTATAAATCGATTATCACCTTCATACGTACCAGGCTTTAGACTATCTTCGTAAATAATAAACAATGCATTGATCATGCCGAAATCAATAATTTATCGAATCGGCAGAATAATCATTCGGTTAATTTTTCATAAGGTGTTCCAGGAATAATGATAACAACTGTAACCACTCATGAAGTCCATAAGCTATCGAATCAGCAAATATTCGGTCGGTAAATTTTATGTAAAGTCCGGTTCAGCCTGCTACTTCGGGCTTTTTTTTTCTGGCCGGGCCCGGACTCAAAAATATTTTTTGGGTGTGGTTCAGGCCCAGTCAAACCCGGACCCTACATGTAAGTTTCTGACATATAATTTTTGATGTGAATAACATTGGACAAAACTTTCATAGAGCTGGCACATAAGTATAGTAATACTGGCAAAAAAAACTTTTGTAATAATTATGTGCCAGTGCTTTAGTTAATGTACGTAGAAGTTAACATGCATGCATGTATACAATTTTTGTAATTTTAATGGATCTATTATGCCGAAATAACTTATCCGAATTGACCAAAAAACCATTCAGAGATTTTTACAAGTAATTGTCAATAAAATTTGTCAATAAAATAATTGTTTGTGAATTACAGCTGCTCTCATAAATTCCAGGACAAATTAAAATTTTACTTATTACTTGAGATCTTTTCTGTAAATCATATAACCCTCCGGAAATTATATCGCTGCTCTCCAGACTGAAGATTCGAAGATAACGATGTAGTTTCCGGAGATATGAATGATTTACAGGACGAAACGAAAAGATTTCGGGTAACAAGCAAAATTTTAATTTGTCCCAGAATTTACGAGAAAGCTATAATTCTGTAAGTAAAATGATTGTCGGCAAGGTGGTTGTCTGTAAAATAGGCTTTCGGCAAATTGATGGCTACCCCAGTAAGAAACGATGTTCATGTGATGACTATTTCCGATCTGGCTCTGGGGGTTAATTTTATAAATTTTGTTTTTATATATTTTTATATATTTATTTCACATCCATTTAGAAACACCCGCAAAATTGTTTGTAATTTATTCTGTTTTCGACATTCTTTTGAAGCTTTTTCGTTATTCTTTTGAAGTTTTTCCGGTTTTCTTTTTGGGTTCTTTTTGAAGTTTCCTCATCATTTTCATTTTTGGAGCTTTTTTTTTGTTGAGGTCAACGTTGACTTCAACGTTGAGATCAATAGATCAATTTAAAGTCAACGTTGACCTCAACATTGATTCCGAAGTTGATCTTTAACGTTGATTCCAACGTTCGCCTCAACATTGATTTCAAAGTTGATCTTTAACATTTGACCCAAAGTTGATCTCAACATTGAAGTCAACGGTGATTTCAACGTTAAGATTAATGTTGTTAAATTTTGAGGTCAATGGTTTAGTACAGTCAGGGATTTTACCAAATTTGGGGGTCCTTTAAAGTGGGAAGATTTCATATATACTGCGTGTCGATAAAATATAAACCACCCACACGATACAGATTAAATCATAAATATAAACTAATAAGCTTTTTATGCATGTGATAAAGTCATTAACTAAAAAGCATTATTTTTTAATATTAGCATTTAATAATTATCGTAGTCTTTTTAAGGCTTCCCTAAGACCTCGTCAACAACATTCGATGCTTCTAGGTCCATATTTTCACGACCTTTGTGTGACATTGGTTTAAATTTTGGTTTGAATTCTTCACTATATACGATTCTGTGTTATTAAAACTAGGAAAACAGAATCCGTTGGGTTCCGAAGCACCGCTTCATATTAGTAAACCAACATTCGAAGTTGCTTAGTAGATCTATTAATTTATCTATATGCTCTATAAAAATGTAAAAGTTATTAACTAAGTATTTAAAGGCAAGTTAGCAATATGAATTAGGTTAATACGATGTAGTTATATCATGATTATGACGTAAAGTATTGTTTTCTCGCATAATAGGGCACAAAAATTTAAGTAATTAGTTCTCCTTATATCTTAATTTTCAAAGTGGCTTGTAAACCGGCTGTAAGAAAATAAATTAAACAATCTTAATTTTTAAAAGTTACATTTAATTATAAAGATTCTTAAAAGTTGATATGGCCAGATTCTAAGAACAAATTAATTCAACGATCCGACACACGCTGAATTCATTCATCTAATTTTATTGCGTAAAATTATGTCAACATAAATCGTATACGTATCAAATGTGCTGCATTTAGAACTTAAATTTCTGAATTTGTTAAATGTATAATACGTCATATACCAATAAATCGAGTGCTGCGTTTAAAATTTAAATTTATAATACACATCAAACACCACCAAATAACTAATACGATTTATTTGAATATTTGAAATCTGCAAATAACTTTTTATCTTATTTTAACCCCCTGGAACCCATACGAACCCAATATCTCTACTTATTGTCTGGACTTGAGTTCCTCCACTCTGCTCCGGAAATTAAAAATGCTAAAGTAAGTTCTGCTATGTCTTCGATATTAAATTTTGATTCAAAGTCATAAATGTATCAGAATTCGCCAGAGTAAATATAGAAATGAAAGTATTTTGATTTGTAGTATAAGACTCAAATATGACATTTGTATTATCAGTTTTCAAGGATAATGCATCCGAATGTGTTGACGTGTAAAGTTTTGTATTCAAAGTTCTTTGATAATTATTATGTCAATTATCAATTTATTTTACCAATATTTTTGTTGACATCGTAGACAACTAGGACATTCATTGGCTAAATGTAATTCCATAATGATTGGTGCTACCTCTTTTCCAATGCGTAGAACAAATATTTGCATCGAATAAAATAGTATTTCCATCAACGATCACCATAATTAGATTTTTTTGTTAATTGAAGAAACTAAACAATCTCCAATAGACTGGATTATTATCGATATTATTTAACACGATCAGGAAAATTCAAAACAAACGCTCATTTTGTCAAAAATCGGTTATAACACAAAATTGCACATATGAAGCTATCTTTCATGCTATAACAAGCAAAATTTTACTATAAACTCTCATTTTTTTCACCTTAACCCGACCCTAACGAAACAAAAAATCCCGGTTTTATTTATGTTACACTTGAGTGACAAAGTTTTCATGCGATATATAAGCATATTGCAGGATGCGATGCATACATTTAGTCTTAAATTGTTTGTTTTGACCCTAATTTTATTTTATGAAATAATATATAGTTACGTAATTTGATAATCAAAACATAGTGCCAATAAAAGGTTATGTCGGCATCACTAGTTACGGCTCAAAAAAATTACTTGTGTAATATTACGTTCTTAAAAAGTATAAATTAGTTACCCGAGCAATTATTTACACTAGCCAATTAAGCAAACTTCCTCAAATAGAATTGTCGGGCGTCGATAAAATGATTGTCTGTCGACCCATCATCTTAAATGTCTTAGTTTTAAATACCATGTGATAGAGTACGTAATCTGACCAGGTGCATAGTAACACAAAAACAAAGTTTGCTTAGATTAGGTGACAGAAAAAGATAAAAATGTTCACTGTCCTGTAAGAAATAATTTAATATTGGATACTTAAGACTATTAAGTTTCTATATATAAAGTATCAAAGAAAGGAATTGGATTTAATACAATACCAACTTGAGGAAAAGAATGACTGTGGAAGAACGAATAGGTGAAGAACGAATAGAGGAAGAACGAACGGGGCTAAGCATTGCTGATTTAGTTGAAATAAGGTAAAATGATTGATCTAATCTTCGATATAATATTAAATGCATTCTTTTTGACTTTTCAACCAATATTAACAATAAACAGAGGTAAGAAAAAAAAAAGTATCAGTTTTGTTTTGTCTCTAATTTAACACTGCTAATATCCTAACTTTATCAGCTCGTCAAAGAACATTTGAAGGAGCTTACTGGAGAACAAGTTTAGCTCAATTCACCTTCTCTTTATTTATCCTTCGAATATTCGAACCAGCTTTTTTTGGAACCGGCATAGTGTTTTTAATGTTTGGATGTGCGTTGCTTGGTATTTCTTTTCTTAGAAGACGGAATACTTTCGATACACTTGATCATTCTAAGCCATTTGTTACTAGTGGTGGGTGTGTTGCAATTACCGGGTTGGTTGCTATGATAACTTACGTTACTTTGTTATCGCTTGTCTGCACCTTGAAATAATTTTTGAATCTTAAATTATTTGTATGATTATTTATTATGATTATTAGATATATTATCTATTATTATTACTATGTACATTATCTGTTATTGTATATATTTTATATATTAACTGTGTATAATATTTATATATATAAGTGTACAAACTTAATTATTTTAGTTAATGAAAAGTAAAGTTTATAAATATTAATGGCAGAAAAAAAATCTTAACGAACGTTAGCGAAATTAACTATTTCAATACTAACTTGCTGGTTTATTTTTTCTGTTTCTATATTCAATACGGTATATACTCCTCGAAAATTATTTCCCATTTCATTTTCCGACACCATATTGCTAATATAATAAGTTTTGACTGTTTCCTTTTCTGACATGCCATGTTTCTGATAGGACGTTTTTCCCGACGTAACATATTCAAACTAGACCTTTATTCGACACAAATTTTCCAAATGCACTTTTCCCGACAACCTATTTTACCAACAGCTTATTTAACTCATAGTAGTATGAAATTCGTACGATTGATAGTTTAATCTGATCAAACTTAGTGTTGCCTCACCAATAGTTGAATAAAACAATTCACTTTCGTCAATTTTTATATAAATCTGTCAATGGTGTCCATAGCGTTGTTAGGCAAAACCTAGAGGTTTTGGCAAAAAAAAATTAAAATGGCAAAATGGCAAAACCGGCAAAACTGCTAAAGTTAGAGTAACTAAAAAAAGTAATGAAATTGGGAAAAGATAAGAAAACTAGTAAAGAAACAAGAATAGAAAAGTAATTAGAGAAAATTAAAATCTTTTTTACTGTATATAATTTATGGGAAATTATAGGCATCTCTTGCGGGATATGTAACTTTGCTCAAGGAAATCTTTTTGTTAGTACCTCTTATGCGGAGTTTTGCTGTTTTTTGAAATTTCTTATTCATATTACGTTATACCAAACTATGGCTCGATATTGGCTAACAGATACGAGAGATTGTTATGTAGTTTTTAATATTATACTTTTTCTTATGTAACTTTATAATAGTTTAGCTTATATTTAGATAATGATCGAACCTATATTATACTTTAACTATCATTACAACATTTTATAGTTAGAGTCTAATAGCATAATAATTAGTTAGTATAAGAAAAGGGATTTTTTCTTGTACTAAGTTACATTGAAGGATATTTTTCTTGTCTTTGTCTATTGAAATAAATTACGGGTTTCGTATTTAATACTTGCGGCACTGAGTTAAATCTGGTTGGAAGATATAAAAGCTCTCCCTGCCGTAGCAAGATACACTCCCACGAGAAACGCTTAAAGGTACCCATAATTTATATATAATATTTTAAAAAGTAAGTATTACCAAGATTTTTATTATACAATCATAACATTATTCTAAGAAATTTTGCATTTATAAAGAAGTATACTTATATAAAAAGTAATATTTAGAAAAGGAGAGTGCATTTCATGTACTTTATTTATTGCTTTTGTATATTATAAGCCACATGCTGTGTTTAATAGTCACATGCAAAATATTTTTATTCACCAACATGGCACAGTCTTTCTAAAATCTTAAAAAAATTGATTTTCGTCATGTTTGATTTTCTCCAGAAGTTTCAGCTTTAATTGAGGTTTTGCCAGAGTTTCGACAGGTTCGACTTTCACTGGGTTTAACTTTGACTTTTGCCATTTTTCAGAAATAGTTTTGCTTAATAATAATAGGTGTTTATTCACTTATATACATTTAAATTAATGCAATTTAAGTATTAAATCTTCATTGACTTGCTTATTTCAAGCAATAAATATTTTTATACATGTTAAATAAAGCTAATAAAATGAAAAAATTATAAACTAGGTAGCTTATTTAATATTATATTATATAAATATTCATTATTCTCACACATTAAATTATTATAAATAATATGAACTTGAACAATTTATTTAGAATATTTAGATTAATAAATGTTTTTTATATTTACAATTTAAAAAATTAAATCAAGTATTTATAAACATAAATAACTTAATTTAAATTATAGGTTAATAAATTCTTTATATTCATGACTATATTACTGTAGTCAAAATTGACTTCAAACTTTTTAATTCAATAACCTAACACTTTTATTCTGATGCTCTTATTCTCCAACATTTCATTCCATTTTCAATATTATAATATGTATCTAGTACCATTACATTCCAGATCCTATTTAGTTTTAAAAAAAATCTTCATTGTTTTTGAAAAAAATTAATCATTGTTTATTGTGCAATTAATAAGTATATATTAAACTAATACATGAATATAAATTAATAAAATTTAGGATAAATAGAAGTACAAAATGTAAACAAATATTTCAATACATAAATAGTTAAAATTCTCACAAAGTTGGAGAAACATCTTGTTGAGAAACATATAGTGGTTTTTTTTGATTTTGGCAATTATTAAAATAAATATCACAGTTGATATTAAAATTTGAACCTATTTTGATAAGAAAATTTATATTTTTAGGAGATTTTTTTTCATTGACTTAAATAAAATTTTGTACAAGAATTGACAAATAAAGTATATATAAGTATATAGATTTTAGTTAAGCCTACTAAAAAATTAATTGTAATCAATTTTGTCATAATTTTTAATTAATTGCAATTGTATATTCATGTGATAAAATTAATTAAAACCCAATTAATGATGAAATAATTGTAATTAATTGTAATTAAATTCAACTTTTTTTAACTAAACTGATATCTTGTAGAGTATCTTGATAATACAGGTTTTATATAATTATACATATAAAATAATACTTTAAAAAATTAATTATCATTACATATACAGTTACTAAAACTAGAAATTAAAGTTTTATATTTATTTCTTAATTTGGTTGATATCTTGAATTGATCATATTTTGTTATTTATTCTTAGAAATAAAAGATTTTTCAAGGTATACAGATCAAGAAATTTTCTCTAATCTATATAATAATATTTAACAATTAAAAACAACTGTTCTGCTGCATTAGATGTAAGGAAAATAATATTCATATTCAAGTATTTTGACTTTTCTATTTTACATTTTTTTGCAATCTGTTCTTTCATAGTCATAAGTTTTTCAATTATTAGTTATATATTTTGTTCTACAATAAATAATTGAAGTTTTTGTTTTTTAGTGAATATTAGTATGGTTTCTTGCTTGCACAAGACTTTTTTTTTTTTTTTTTTTTTGTGTTAAAGGCCATACTTGTGGCGATACTTTTATTGACTTTTATTGAGTTAGCTATTACAACTATTTTTACAGAGATGAGAGTACAGCTAGTCACATGTGCAACGTTTGGTTACCTATTTAAGTAGTCCGCCCTAAGGTTCTACACTAGGTGCCGTACCTATAACCTACTAGGAGATTATCCATTTAAACCCTCTGATCATCCACC